CCTGCCCCCCGGCTCCGTGCCCCCGCGTGGCGGCGGGCCAGGACAGGCTTCGCGTGCTGCTTCAACAGGGATGAGCTGCAGTTAACCTCGAGTCGGCCCCGACTCCGAGCCGAGCAAGGCATTAACTTTGCAGGGAAGGGCTGCAAGGAGCCTGCCACAGGTCCCACTTTTTCCCACCACTGGCCACTGCTGCTCATGGTGAGCGTGCCCCACTCTGCATCTTCTCCTTCCCTCCCAGCAGCCCCATGCCTACGGGACACGGCATGTGTGCCAGGTCCTGCCTGTGCACTGGAGGTAGCCCCAGGTGGGTACTGGCATCTGCTGGGGATGTAGCCAGCAGAAGGATGGGCTGGAGGCTGAACCTGTGCCAATGTCCACCACAGCTCTGAGCCTCCCCGGCTCCCTGCCTTGTTCCGTCCCACACAGGGAGGTTTAGTGAGCTGTTGCCAGGGGTGAGAGGTGCTGATGCAGCCCATGACAGCTTTCCAAAACTTCCTATGTGGGCCATGGGCTCAAATAATTGCCCACCCCTGAATCCTGAAAGGGATTCAAATGCAGTTCCTAGAAAAGGGCTGTAGCTACTTTCACATAGAATAGTTTAGCTGGGTGTGTACTCTTCATCCCTCTTGTTGAAGGCCTGGGCACTGTAGGGAGGAATTCAAGTCATGGGGCCAGAAGAAATAAGAGAGAGAGCCCGCTGATGAGGCACTTCCCTGGGAGGCAGAGTCCTGGGTTTCAGTCTTAAGAACATAAGAGCTGCGGTTTACTAGGTCAGGTCATAAGTCCATCTAGACCAGCGGTCTGTTATGTAGTGGCAGAGAGTGGATACTGAAAGGGAGAGTGAACTGAGTCTGACTGCGTTTTTTTTTTTTTTCCCTCCTGTTCCTCGCAGCCTCCAGCATTTCAGATTTAGGAAGTTCTGATTCAGAGGCTGTATTTAACTGTTGTGTTCAATAGCAACTGGTGACATTTTCCTTTTGGCATAAACACAGTTGCTGTCTCTGGGCTGCAGAGCTGCTCATAGATGGCCAAGACAGCATTGTTGCTGTTAAAGGCCTTATAGGCAAAGTCACGGGGTCAGGTAAGACTCTGACCAGTCCACAAGTCAGGGGCTGCAAAAATTGACCAAGTCTGCCTTTAGCTTTCCCTCCTCTCTTCCCACACTAGTCTGTGTGCTGTACCTGTAGGTGCAGAGACCCACAATCTTGCCTCTCTTCCTATTCATTATTCTTTATCTGCCTAAACTATTTTCTTCAAGAAAAATTAGATTTGACTCTTGGTTGCATGAAAGTTCACACAACAGAAGGACTGCTAAATGTTTTCAATATGCTCAACTTGTCCTTTCTGGTGCTTGCTTGCTTCTTGAAAAGTACTGTTAATTATGATAGTCGCTGTGAGCTTTCTGGGTAAGAGGCTTGTAAAACAAGTTTCAAACCTGTTTGAGTAATGATTTAACAGTTGGAGGGAGGAAACCCTCCTTATCCAGGTCTAATATGGACACATTCAACATTGTAGATAGAGGCTGATGCAGAAAGATGGAGATGGAAGGCAGATGCAAAAACATCCCCCAAATATATTTAAATAAGAACTCAAAATCTGCTGGAAACAATATCCCAGGTGCCTGCACTTGTCCAAAAACATCCTTTGTCGCTATTGCTGGTTCATAGGCAGTAGGATTTCCTTCAAGCCCCAATATTCATATATTTTTAAAAGGCTTTACTTATTTTTACATGGTGCAATTTTGAAGAGTGGGTAGGGCCTTGTGCTGAAGGCAGTGGGCTGGAACTTATGGAGCTTATGATTTGGCCTTTAATGTCTTGTGGGACCTTGGGCAAGTTCCTTGATTGCTCTGTTACAAGTTATAGCTAAAAGAGATTCTTCACATGAATTTTACCACCTTGTCCATGGTGGCATGTTTGAAGTGGTTTCTTTACTCCCACTGGAGAGGAAGGTAGGATCTGTGGTAACTTGGTTCACAACCAGTAAATTGAGTTAATACTTTCCTGGGTAATACTTTTCTGCCAAGGCATATAGTTGACAGTCCAGAGGTTGCAAGTTCAACAGCAGAACCACTCACCATGTGGCCCTGTCAGATTCCAGTGAATCTGTGATTTCTCCTAAATACTTTGTCAGAAGGACCTAAAAAAGATTTGTAGGTGAGTCAAGGCAAAGTTTGCTAATGCATGCAAGAGGACTGTTTGGCCTAAGTGGCACAGTGTGGCTAGATGGGGTAGGGGGTGGACTGCATATGCACCATACCGCAGACTATGCAAGCAGCCTCTGTCTCTACTCCCATCCTTGGCCGGCTCCTGGGACCTAGCTCAAGGGCAGTCCCCCCCGTCCTCCCCCTCACACGTGCACAATATACAAGAGTAGGACTGTATTTTGAGCTGTTATGTAATATATACACTACTTAAGAAAAAATGAGAACAAAAATTAATTTTTTAAATAAAATTGTAGATATTTGATTTTTCAGTATACGGTTTTTTTTGAACTTATAATTTGTTAAAATATTGTCTGAAAGATTTTGTGTGCAACCCTCAACAGCTCCCCAAAACTTGTTAAGTGGCCCACCAGCCAAAATAATTGCCCCTAGGCTAGGAGCAGCGGGTTAGTGGGAGCAGTGTTGTACTGGCCTCTTCATGGTGGGGGGCTGCACTTGGGGTGGGTGGTGGTGCTGGTAGTGCTATTTTTGGAGTGGCTGTAACACACCCAGTGGCCCCCTCTCCCAGTGCTGCTGCTGCTGCCTGCTGTGAGCTTATCCCTGGCCCGACTGCCCCACTGGGAAGAGGCCTGCGCAGCCCCCAGCCCTGAGCCTGCATCCGGGAGCCCGCCCTTGCCGTATGTACAAATCCGGGGCAGGGGCGTGTGCCCCCCACAAGCCTCCCCTGGGGATGCACTCAACGGTGGGAGCTGCTGTGCCACTTGCCCCCTGGACAAGCTGCCCGTGGCTCCATCCTGCACCCCACCTTGCCCTGGCTGGGTAGTGCCTGCCCCTGCGCTACTCCCTCCCTCACAGTGGGGGGCCTCGATCTGCTCCCCCTTCCTGCCCCTATGCCCCCCCCTCCTCCTCGACTTACTGACTGGATGCTGCTCTCCAAGCTGCAGTATCTGCTGATATGGCTGGTTAATAATCGGCCATCAGTATCAGCCAAAAAAATCTTTATTGGTGCACACCTAGTTTTTCAGATTACTGTTAATTATGGGTATGTGAAACGGGCCTTATTCGATTTGGATTTGGCTTGAATCGGGGACAGCGATTCAATTCGTTGATTTGGATCGCTGTCCCCAATTCAATTTGGCTGAATCTGAAGATTCAGTGCTGATTCGGAGAATCGGTGATTCAGACATGGACATAACTTTTAAATGTTTTTTTCTATATATCTCAAGGTACCAGGTGTGACTCATGAATGCTGCGATGCTGGGGTGGATGGAGCGTCCCACAGGAGCCTGTGGGGGGGGCCCCCCAGTGGTCAGCCATGGGGGGGACCCTGGGTGCCCCCCCCCCCCCCCCCCCCCACAAGGCCC